TCTAAGGTTTCTGGCCGATTAGGTTGATCATATAGTTCTGTAATATAATTTTCCCAAATTTTCAGCACTTGCCTCTGATGTACTATTCTATTCCCCTGGGAGTCTATATATATATGCTCAGATCGCCGTGTCGAATGTTATTGCTGTGCTGTAGCTGTTCTATCTGCACTCAGAGACACAGAACAGCAAGCAGACAACCCGCAGCACAATATCACTACCAAAATAGTGTAACAACAAACAACAAACATACGATGTATAACAAGAAGAAGGCTTAAATGGAATTTGTAATCTTGGCTATAAATATCTTAATAGCCATTTTAATTGTAATTTTAATCCATTCAATATCAGTTTTAATTTACATTTTTAACTATAATTAAAACACATTTTAAAATTAAGATATGATTTTCAATATAGAACAATCACACAGACACAGTATGAGTTCATATTAATTAATGACGCAATTCAGAAGCTAAACAGTATTCGTGTAAGACTGAGGATGACCCATGAAAAGGGTCGAAACATCTAGCGATACCACCAACAACGAATAGAAACATACGTTGACACAGTAGCGTCCATTTTGTTTCTTTCTGATTGTCTGCTGAGCGAGTGTCCGGAATTATATCTATTCGTAAAAAGCACACAGCATGATGCATACCATAAAGCTCATTTATACGAATCGTTGTCGTCACATTCTAGTTTGTTATAACACTGAACAAATTACTGGTAACAGATCGTTGAGAAATAAAGGCAGGAGAGAAGCAAAGATAAAAATTTGCATAGGTATGACTGTCTCTAGAACCTGAGCGTGAGAAAGTAACAACATAATGTAGAGAATTGCGTAACGCGACGCTTCCTGTTTCCCAGTTTCCACCAGATACTATGAGGATTATTTAACCATGAAAGATAAAATTGGAATTTTGAAGTAAAATGGCTCATATAGAAAAAGGCTGGAAACCGGAGAATTGTGTTACAACTTGGGAGATTTAGGAATAAATATACAAATACATAATATTGAGGAGGATCTTAAAGAAATAGACTGTGACGATGTTGACTAAATTCACATGACTCAAAATGACGAAAATCTGTTGTGAATATGGTAATGGAACTTAGGGATACATGAAGGACAGCGAATTTCTTGAGCAGCTCAGAGACTGTCAGCTGCTCAACAGGAATTTTGTCCATGTACTTAATTACTTGACTAGCTGAACAGCTGGTTAAATAATGCAATAATTAATTAGCTATTGGACATAAGATATAAAAGTCTATGACGATGGTACATTAGTACAAGTATTATGTTTTGGGGGCATTATCCATCGTCCTGTCTTTATCTAAAACACCGTCCGGAGGTAGGGACTATCTTTACTAATTGGGGCCAATTGAGTAGGTTTTACGTGAAGACGGAGATAGAATCCAGGCACCGAAACGTTGTGTTTTGAAAAATACACATGACGGTTTTTAGATAAAGACAAGCCAATGGATAATATCCAAAAACATAATATTTGTACTAGATAATGTACGTGTAATAAACATCGATTCAAAGTAATAATACTTAATACTACCGGGAGTATTCTGTCTGAATCTCTTATTGTATAGCATCTCGTGTGTGTGTTATGTGTGTGGTGTGTGTGTTGTGTGTTGTGTGTGTGGTGTGGTGTGTGTGTGTGGTGTGGTGTGTGTGTGTGTGTGTGGTGTGGTGTGTGTGTGTGGTGTGGTGTTTGTAGTATGTGTGGTTTGGTGTGTGTAGGTGTGTGTGATGTGGTGTGTGTATATATGTGTGTGTGGTGTATGTGGTGTGTGTGCATGTATGTGTGTGGTGTGGTGTAGTGTAGTGTGTGTGGTGTGGTATAATGTAGTGTGTGTGGTGTGGTGCGTGCTGTGGTGTCGTGTGGTGTGTGTGTGTTGGCATCTGACGCGCAGAATAGGCTCCTTACTCAGTGCTGACACACCCAGCGTAGCCACGTACAAGCTGGACTGTCTCTGTAACAGGAAGCTGTACTGAATCCATGGGAAGGTATTATTGTTTCCGTAGTCTTCCAGATGCATCCTGACTGTGGCAGACAGCAGATTCCATTCCCGATTTCCTTTATAATCAAGCAAATCAACCTTCAAAAAGAAGACAAAATTGCGAAATGAGGGATAGGAAATGCCTAAAACAACACTACATAAACACATAAGAGTAGTAACGTAACTGTAAGCAGGGCCGGAATATAAGTGGGCCCAGTGGATATCTCTCCACAATTTATCGTTAGACTGGTTTCCGCAGCTGACATAACCATCTTCCTGCACAGACCAGCTGCGTTAGCCGTAACTCATGGCCCGCTTTTCCGCTGTAGTTTAACTTACCTTAATTTACAGAAGAGATCGCCTCTGTGGTCTAGCGGTCAGAGTTCCCGGCTACAGATCCAGAGGTTCGGGCTCGATTCCCGACGCTACCAGATTTTCTGAGAAGCAGTAGATCTGGAATGGGGTCACTCAGCCTCGTGAGGATAACTGAGGAGCTATTTCAAGGACATAGCAGCTCCGATCTAGCAACCCGAAATTAACGGCCGTGGGGATTCGTTGCGCTGACCAAGCGACACCCTTTATCCCCTAAAGTTAGCATTAATTTCGCTGACAAGCGGCGGTTGCCCGGTCGGTATAGTTCGCTTGCGGACTAAAACCACGGAGTTTATTTTTGTTTAATATATGTTGTCTAGATGTTTACATAAACACTTATAACGAGCCAGGCCTCGTCGTAATAAAACGGTAATTCTAAGTAACGGGATCCATTCAGTGCCGATTCCAGTAACCACATACAGTACTGAATGATTGCTTCACAGTCGGAAACATGAGGCTATGTACGACTGTGACTTTGTAAGGTTGTAACTTCAGCAATTTTGCACCATTATGATCTGTACTTTTTGCCAACCTAGAGACTTCTTCAGGCTTGCTTCTAATGGAGTACTGATATCGTTATGTTCCTCTTCAGTCACTACAGGTCCCTTTCGAGATTTATTTTCGTTCAGTTCCGATCCCGTAGAACGTAACTTTGTTACCAAACTGTAAATAGTTACTTTCCGCGGCACTTTACTGTCAGAATGCCTCCTATGAAGGTTTCTGCGGCATTTCCCTACATGAAGAACAGTGTATCGGGTATGGTATAAGAATAATTTATATTTAATATTATATTTCATTTTTGAACAATATATTTCACAATACTACGACCTATATTTATATGTATTTAAAAGACGACTGGCCAAACTAAGCAAGCAGCTCTATAGAGTTAGGTGAGCAGGAATTGGGTCACTATGCTACAGAATGGGAGCGGGTGAACAAAGTTGTAGTTGTCTGGTCTGAAAGCAAACTACATACATTATTTTACTGCCAGTTTGCTGCTGCTATCATGTTTGCTGACGACACAGCAGATACTTAATACGGTAATATGATTATCTAAAGAATTTTACAGCAACAGCAAAACTATATGCATGACTGAAAAATGTGCCACTTCAAGAACCCAGCTTTACACGTGGAACTAATGTAGCAGCCGTTTCTACAATACTGTGGTAGCTCTCAGACTTCCCCGATTCTTGACCATCTTTCTTAGCAACTCCAGAACTACTTACATGCAGCGTTGATCATTTGAGACGAGATAAGGTACGACTTGAATGACAAAGATTAGATTTCCTGTAGACAAGATTTATCTTTGCCGAAATCTCAGAGCAGTCCCCAGACTTGTAGGTACCAGGGTTTGCTTCCCTGGGGATAAAGAGATCGAAATTTGAAGCTGAATATTAATCTTCCTCTAATATCTGCATCCAGAATGCATGGAGAATTGCCCCCATTATCGTATTCATCTTCACGGCGTGATGAATTTGTCTAGGGGACACTTCCACTATACAATTAATTGATATTAAATTCTTATTAACTAAGGAATTACGTCCTTCAAACACAGCGCATTTAAACGCAAACGGTAATTCAGCTGTTCCAGAATATCCTTGTTTCAATGCTGCCCGAGTGTTCATTGTTGTACTTACCGAGCCCGTCACTGGTTCACTAAGTCACTGTCACCATGTACCAAAGTGGAAGAAAAACTGAGAAAGTCCACAAATATAATTTTAATTATATTCCCGCAGACTGTATTATACTTTTAAAACAGGAAGGTAACTATGTACATAACACCTCCCTTAACATCCAAAAAACTACATTTTTTCCAAGCTGTGAATTTATTTGTCATATGAGTCTTATAATAAATAAGGTTTATTTCACTAAACAACATTAACCGACTGGGTCTTGCGTTTAAATTGCACTTTCTTCTCTGTGCCGTAGGACTTGAATTTTTAAACATCATTTGAACGACATTCAGGCTTCATATGTTAACATACTGCAATTCTTTGCATAAATGTGTTTGCGTTTATGTTCCTATGAAAGGGAAAGGCAAAGCTGTCCCTGTGCTTAATTAAGCACTACGCCATGAAGGGGTATGGAGGAGTGGATGTAAAGATCCACGTTTTCTTGATCTCGGCACTAGTTGCAGGTGAGTAGCCAGTTTCACGCCCCGGCCCCTTAGCCCCGAGGAAATAACACCCAGTACTCATCAGATAGGAGGATGGGTTGGCCTCAGAGCCAGCCTGGACGACCTGAAGGAGTGAAAATTCTTGACCTTACCGAGACTCGAACTCCGACCCCCTCAGTCGTCAAGCTACACTGACTGCGCTATCCTGGGTCTTATGTTCCTATAGGAGGTGGCAAAAATTAATAATTCTCAGAATTTAAAAATCTGCCAGGGTGCTTACGACATTTGGGTGTTTGCTTACTGGGACTTGATATGTACCTGTGTACTCACATTTTCCTGTGTGGTAGTGATATTAATCTCCTCCCCGTACTGCATCCAGGCTCCTAGTCGAAGCGAACAGTTAACCTGGTCGTAGGGCCAGTAGGTTAAGTCCGGATTGCAAAGTGTGAAGTACACCGTTGAAGGAACACAGCTTACTTTGCCTGTTGATTCTAGCTCACATCTCCCACTGGGCATCTTCAATTCCACATCCCAAACGGTATTTCTGAAAATATGTGCACATAAAAATGTCCTCTTCAGCTTTGGCCTAAATTCATAATTTATGAGAAAAACTAGGCCAACGGTGCCCTGATTACTATTAACCTTCTGTTCGTGATGAATTTTGAACAAATTTAACAAGCTTCATCAAACTTATAGGAACATCATGCAATTAATGACTGCCACAATCCTACTCCTTTCACGTTTGCAGCATAAATGGCATCAAAACAGTGGCCGGACCAGAATCTGCTAATATAAGTTCTTAGAATTTTATTCTGTAAGCTCTGAAAATTGTACAACCTCCATCAAGGTTATTTTTTCGGAAGTATGTAAAGTATTTGGAAAGAGACTATCCAGGAAAAGTGATAATGTGGTAGTTTTTCCATTTGCTTTCCACATCGCAGTACAACAGCCATTCAAACCACTCTGGTCACGCCTGTTGCTATACGAATTTGAACATCTTGAGCATCATTTTCTCTGTGCTTCAAGTCGCCGCTGATGACGCTGCTTCCGGCATCAGTTTTCGGTGTCTCTCTTCGTCTGATGCCTACCCTTTGACCTGTCCAGCAAGGGAGGCCCTGCCAGTAGCTACGCTACCGCTGGTATAGCTCTCAGGGTCCTTGGCATACTCAAACACCCTCACCACGATAAGGTGGAGACACCAACGCTGGAAGAGGCTGTGGACCTGTCGTCTGACAGATTACTGATGAATGAATGAATGTAAAGAATAACAAGGCGCCCTGGGAGATATATTTATTTTTCGGTGTTATGGCAATGACTATGAACAATTTTGGATATATATGTGAAATGTGTATAAGGTTATATAATAAACATAGCTACCTACAAATTATGTGTGAATCTTTTCTTTTACATGTTGACAATTACAAACATGGCGTCGGTGCGAAACTGTGAGATAAAATTAAACAAATTTAATGTAGACCCTACCTGGAATCTATTAAAGTTGATAATGTAACGTGTAGAGCAGTTGCTATGCAACGACCGCAAGATGGGCGGATATACGAGGGCCGTTTCTGGGCAACGGTTCGGTAAACACTTTCCAGCGGCAAAGGTTCGGTAAACACTTTCCAGCGGCAAAGGTGTGTTATACGACGTTCGTACTGAGATGTTATAAGCAAGGTACAAGATTAGAGCTTAGTCAGAGTCAGTTGTCAATTAAAAGTCAGTTCTGTATGGGAGTCTGTGAAGAGAGGACTTTAGCCGGAGGCAGAGGTATAGCCACTGTTGGAGCCGTTACCGTTGTCTCCTTCCTTCTGACTTTCCTATATGCATTCATCTTATCCCCATGCGTGCTACATGCTTTGTCCATTTCATTCTCCTTGGTAATATTTGAAATAATAAGTAAATATNTATTCTTAATATTTAAAATTTATTAATATATATGACGAATATATATTTTAGTTATTTTAGTATAAAGACAACAGGGCATGCAATGAAGTAGTTCGACGTACATCGAAAAGCACCTGAAGATGGCACTTTAGTGCCGAAACATGTAGTGCAAGAGAGAAGAGTAAGGTGAATAAATGTATGCACTGTAAGACGGTCAGAATAAATCATGGATCTAATCCTTCCAGCCGCACTATGGCCCTGGGGTCGACTCAGCCTCTAACAGAAATGAGTACCAGGAATTAATTAAATAATTTTATGGGGAGTAAAGCGAGGCCGGCGCTTAAGGCTGACACACTTACCGCCATCTTTGAGCCGATTGTCTAGAAAATGTGGGAACCTCAATATCTCACAACCATATGGGTCTTCACGGCCTGGTACAGGGATAACTTTACTTTTTAATTTACTTTTTATAAGTTAATATCAGTAAGACAGTCGGCGTACCCGCAAGTTAATGTTTAAGGGTACTCGTAACTACCCGTTCAGTGTCACATCACGAAATTCTTTAATTTTTCTGAAAATATAAATTTGAAATATCAAGCAGCCGACAAGAGTATTTGGGCCTGAAAGATATAAAGCAAAAGCTGAGTGGTGGAAATCCCACAATAGGGAGTTTTACAATTTGTGTTACTCTTCGCAGCTTGGACACACCACTAGCCTTGATGCCCAGTTACTGCAGATACGAAGCTAATAAGACTGCGTGGTCTGAAATGGTTCATCACACATTCACCACATCGTCACATAGGCCTGTATCAGATGTAAGCAGTAGATCTTAAAGAGCTCCACTGAGCAGCCACGTTACGGCGGAAGACTGACAACATTACAACCCTGTTTCTCTTGCTGTCTGGGTGCAGATAACCGTCACCCAACCACCGCCATGCTTAAATCCCAGCAATAGTGTCTAGAAAGCAAATCATAAGTGAAGCACTCACGAGTCGAACTCGGAGACCTCTGGCACCCAGATCTCGTAACTGTCCACATGAAGATTATCCAACCCTCCATAATCTGATGGATTCCACTGTAAATGTTCGTCCGTCCATTCCTGTAACAATCCACATCGTGAATATTGCAATGGATTTGATCAACGCGTTGCCAGGCTGGAGCTCTGTAAACACGGTCCATTGCGCAACAATAGGACGAATGTTTATACCACGTTGCTAGGCAAAAGTCAAATATCCAATAGCATTTCATTAAGTTCAAGTCTTAAGGAACTCGTTGAAATTGTAAGAAGGAAAAAATGGTTTCTATTAGATAACTATCTGAATATATTTATTTATTATTGGTTTTAATAACACTTTAAATATTTCACTTTATGCAATATATAATGACAAGATAATTATGAATAATGAAAGGTAAATGGTATGAAAATAATAATAAATTGTGTTCCGATTTTCGATACTATTTTCTCACTTGCCAGAACGGACAGAGGAAGACCACAAAATACTCGATCATTGATGATGATCTTCTGACGAATTTTAATCTGGGACCTCACGAAAACGAAGCAGGACAACTACCTCCTAGGCCGTGAACTTTTGGGTGTTCTTACGTCCATTTAGTACTCAGACATCATGAATATAGAGGGAATGCCATTAAAAGTACTTACCCAGATCATCCAACAATGAATTCCAATCGAGCTGATATATGGCTCCTGTAAAGAACGAACAGTAGCAGCTTAAACCCCAACATTCCTTCAAAAGAATTATAAAGCATAACTGGAAATGAATAGCCAAATACAAACACTAATAATAAGGCGAGTACATGCAAAACTTCGGCCGGTATAACGGCGCAACAAGGGAAACTAACTGCAAGATACAGTTTCCTCTTTAATAATGTCATACTTACTCAGTTAGTCAGGAAATTCCCTTATCTTAAAGAACCACAGATGTTATCTATATATTCTAACCAGTTGAATCTTGCCCACGCTTTAACAGCCCCACTAAACATTGCCTCACAAGCACGTTAGGTCCAAGAATTCTCTTTCGCTTGAAAATTTTCGGCTCAGAATGTAAAGACAATTCTCATATCCCTCATACGTGCTGCATAACTTCATTTCCTGCACTGAGTAAGAGTACCGACATAGGTGAGGGTACAAATTATGAATCTCATTACATAGTTCCCTCTACTCAGTAGCAACTTTGACGCCCGTTGCTGTTCGACCGAAGTCTGATACCGTATAATTAGGATTATTCGTTTCCACTCCCTGACATCTAATATGATAGATTCCCCCGAATGTATGCCTAAGAAGCCGAGGACTGTACTTATAAAATTGTATCTCAGTAGCAGCGAAACTTGAGATGCCGGTAGACCCTACATCACACCAAACGCCCCTTCCATTGAAATCTAAGTTGCCGGTAGTCCCTACATCACCTCGCACACCACTTCAAATGGAACCTCAAGATGCCGGTAGACCCTATATCACACCAAACGCCCCTTCCATTGAAATCTAAGTTGCCGGTAGTCCCTACATCACCTCGCACACCACTTCAAATGGAACCTCAAGATGCCGGTAGACCCTATATCACACCAAACGTCCCTTCCATTGAAACCTAAGTTGCCGGTAGTCCCTACATCACCTCGTACTCCACTTCAAATGGAGCCTCAAGATGCCGGTAGACCCTATATCACACCAAACGTCCCTTCCATTGAAATCTATGTTGCCGGTAGTCCCTACATCACCTCGCACGCCACTTCAAATGGAGCCTCAAATACCGGTAGACCCTATATCACACCAAACGTCCCTTCCATTGAAACCTATGTTGCCGGTAGTCCCTACATCACCTCGCACGCCACTTCAAATGGAGCCTCAAATACCGGTAGACCCTATATCACACCAAACGTCCCTTCCATTGAAACCTATGTTGCCGGTAGTCCCTACATCACCTCGCACGCCACTTCAAGTGGAGCCTCAAATGCTGGTAGACCATACGTCACCTCATCCTTCAATTAAAGTTTCACTTGAGGTGGCGGTAGATCCTAATGTCTTATCACGCTATCAGAGCTGTCGGTAGATACTCCACCCCACACTTTTTTTAAGACAGTGAAGAAACAGGAGATGCTCCCCCCCCCTCTCTTATCAAGTTCACCGAACGTGGTGATACTCTTGCATCATTCGAAATACAAAAACATTTTTACATATTCACCATTTTGTGTCTGCAAAATGTCATACTAAACATGTTATGGTCAAAAATAGGTTCAATAAGCTGTCAGCTATTCTGACTGCTCATAAAAAAACAAACGCCATGGTTTTAGTCCGCAGGAGAACTATACCGACCGAGCGACCGCCGCTTGTCGGCGAAGTTAGTGCCAACTTTAGCGGATAGAGGGTGTCGCGTGGTCAACGAAACGAATCCCCACACTGCCGTTAATTTAGATTTTCTAGACCGGAGCCGAAATTTCTTTGAAATAGCTCCTAAATTATCCTCACGAGGTTAAGTGGGCCCCGCTCCAGACACACTACTCCTCAGAAAATTTGGTAGAGCAGGGAATCGAAGCCGGACCTCTGGATCGGTAGCCAGGACCTCTGGATCGGTAGCGAGGAACTCTGACAACTAGACCACAGAGGTGGACCTGTCTGTTCATAGCGAAGTTTAAGGGTTTTAAGTAATAGAGTCATTAAGTTCGTGGACTGTGGTTTTATCACATCATGTTACAAGGTATTCACATACACTTACACAGATCAACATCGGCCCTCAAAAGAGTTGCCATTAGCCGCCGTGGAAGTCTGCCAAAGTTGATATAGCTGCCAAAAATATTGCTGAAACATATTGGCAGGCAATTCCCGTACGGCGTCTCTTGTGGCAATGACCGCCTCCTCGGACGACTGAAACCTACGACCACGTAGCTTTGCTTTAACGGGGTGAAAGAGAAAGAAATCGCATGGTGCGAGATCAGGTGATACGGAGAATGTGGCAAAACGATGACCTGTTGCCTTGCCAGTTCCTCTTGGACAAGAACAGAGCGATGTGCAAGGGCGTTGTCGTGTAGCAACAGCCAATTCTTCCTAAGCCAAACGTTTTGCTAGGGGATTTGCCTAGTTTTTGGCAGAACTTGATGTTTGCCCGTTGTTCAAACTGCCACATTTTCGATTTCCGCCACTTGCATTTAACTGCAGGTCACAGTAGAGGTCGTAGTTCTGCTTACACTGTTTGCACACAAGTGGCTCTTGCTGTGACGAGAGTTGAACTGACTGGGACTATCCGCTGTAATGCACTGCAACGACGCTTTGCGGCCAGTCCACGAACTTATTGACTATGGTAGTATATGAATGTAAACATATTGCTATAAGCTACGTGTATTTACAAGTACGAATCGTCACTCACGAAATTGATACTCCTAAGGAACATGGAGACGTAGACGACAGTCTGGCTGCTATGGTGAAGCACTGGCCGTACGCTTGTGTCGTAGTCCCGCAGAATATCTTCCTTCAGGCGAAGTGTTTCCGTCTTCTGTGTAGGACTGGTACTGCAGTCTTCCTCAGCCAATACTGAAAAATGATTTGTATTTTACCATCACAAATTCCTATCGCATAACACTATGTGACAGCTGACACTTCATACGGAACTAACATATTGTGGCATATAGTCTGTTGCTAGGCAAAGACCTGGAAACAAACAACAGGGCAACAGCCGTTGCTATTCAAAGGTTCGGTAAACATGCCTTCACTGTTGGAAACGGTGTTTTCTACTCAGTCCCTATATAGTGGTTATATAGAAGACAATCGGGGCGGGGTCGACTACCTCCACCGTAGCCCTGCGAGTCGTAAGGGGCGACGAAAAGGAAAGCCTCGAATCTGAGACAGTAAAATATGGTCACGAATCCGACGGGACTCGGACCCGAAAATGACTACGCTGGCGGGGACCAGGAGCAATTGTAAACGACAGACTTGTCCTCCCGTCAGAGAGAGCGCCCCACGGCAATAAATCCGCAACTATCTGGAAATAATACAAATCTGTCCGTAAGCCCCAGATGGGTGCTTTATTCCAAGACAGACTGGCCGACTGACTGTCGGTCGTAATATAAGGCTCAGACCTAGACCTAGTTAGCTGTCAGTTGAAAGTCAGCCTATGAATAGGAGACCAGGAGATTAGTATGATAGACCGCCAGCCTGGGAGGTAGTTGAGAGTGATTTCAGTAAGGGAGGATGTAAAGATAGGACTTGAGCGCGTGAAGCTGAAGAATCTCTACTGTTACAAGCCTTTGCCAGGGAACGACTGTTGAAGACACTACAGGCTGGAGAAGATTTAGTTAGCGTGTACTGATTTGAGAATTGTAGAAATCGGCGATAGCGCTGTAATTACTTGTAGTTCCGAGTAGTGTATGNGCCTGTACTTATGTATGTAACATTTTGACTTGTTCTGTATCCAAAGGTACTAACCTGCTTAGGATTTATAGAATGTAAATAATTCAATTCAATTCACTGATTTGAGAATTGTAGAAATCGGCGATAGCGCTGTAATTGCTTGTAGTTCCGAGTAGTGTATATAAGTGGTCAATAAATCCATTCACCAATCCATACCCCGTTAATAGTCACACATAGATCGTGACAATATTAATGAAGCATTTATGATTTTGATATTACATTAGGATCACCCGTGAGAAAATTTTAAGATTATTGTTCAGCTCTCACGGATGAAATTGTTTGCCCTATTACGATTCAGGTCTGATTCTGAGATAACAGGCTCCTTTAATTATGCAGTACGAATGGATGAATGAATGTATAAGGGGTGGGCATTCTCGGCCCTTGCACCGCGACCACAGTGGTCTATTGTGCTTCTGCAGTACGAATACTTCGATAAGAGGACAGTCCAAAATGTTATCTGACTACCAAAACAATGCATTCCTTCACTTCATCAAACTTACCCATAAAACAGAAATCCAAATGAATATTAAATTTTGTACAAAATTGTACTATATTTCCTTAATCTTGGCTTGACTTTTCTTATCATAAATTCAGTTCATAAAGGAACAAGCAACTGTAAAAGCAGAACTATGGGAAACTTTGCTATGGATATAATATTTGTGTTATGCGATTTGTAGATATTAATAACTATAATTTTTATGCGCAAAGAAACGTTTCTACACAGAGAAGAGGATAGGGTGGACATCAAAACCTCGGACTCCCATTGTCAGTGTCATTCCCTCTATCCTTTAAACTATATGTCTGTTCTGATCAGCGGTCCCCCTTGTTAGTCTTCATAATACAGAAAAAAAATACACTATATTTGCCATATAACTGACTTTTCTTAAAATTAATCACACAATGTATGTATGAATTGTATTGCGTCACCGTAAATGTGATTATTGCCTTTAAATTTAATGAAAATTTCGTTTTCTTCGAGTGTCTTAAAAGGTGAAAATCCCTTTACTAAAACAAAAAATGAATTTTTCAAATATCATTCTCATAATAAACTTCATGCTAGCACACCCATTTTCTTGTTCATACAACCAGTCTACATGTTCAGAAACTAATTTTATCCGATATCATAACCATAAATACACACAATCCATAAAGTAGAGCACTATTAATGCATCCAATCAAACCTCTCAATGCTCACAGCAGGTTGGAGAATTCCAAAAATCCACATAATTGCATATAAGCATTCTTAACACCGGACACTACATAATCACAGGGATGGAGTTTCATAATAGACCACAGGGAATAGAAGTACTATATTGAAAGATGTAAATTGTTGACAGATAATTTCGGATATTAGTGTAGGATAGAGCTGTACTTAAAATCCATGTTCAAGAAATTTACCATTGCAACGAATTAGACATAAGAAGATCAAATTGTTAAGTTTGTACATAATTAACTAACAAATCTTGATGCAACGGTATGTAAATTATCACTGATAGACCAGAGAACATTTCATTTGCAACCCATGTAACATTACCCTCAGCCGCCCATCTTGAGTTTCAGATTACACTGATGATACAAGTGCACTGCAACATGAATGTCTAGAGGACTGAACTACTAGGTTTACTGTGAGTTTGAGGATGTACAGTCGACAGATGGCATGTTCTTCACAAGAATTCAACCTGCAGAACACACAAAGAGGCTCATCATAGCATTACCCTAGTTCGCTCGATTCTGAAGAAACAGGTGAAAAAGATCTTGTCTTCAGTTTAGAAATTTCGAAGGATACATCAGCAGAAATGCGGTTGGTTTCCCTGAAGACATCACGGTGTAGTCCTCTGGAGGGATTCTTGGAGGATATTACTTCATTATGATGCACTTGTTTACCTATATTCAGATGAAACACTGGAGAGCCAAGAAACAGTATATAGTTTAGTCTACCCAATTCAGATGGTGTCGCAATGTGTTTCTGTATTACCGTGTGCTCAAACCTGCACTACAGATGGCTTGAACGGGATGAAGGAGCAAACAGGCCTGTGGTCACAGGTAAGTGCTGAACTGCAATTCAAGAATAACTTCTCGCGTGGCTGACACTATCACTGAACGCGAAGTATGTTCCAAATTGGACTGTCAACTGGGTGTCTTCTTGCCCCTGAATATCACGCAACTACCCCACTTTCGATTTTCTTTCTTTAGTACAAGCAAGCGTAGTTGGTTGAGGCACTATGCTACAAGCCGTAAGGCCGCGGGTTCAAGTCCCGATGAGGTCATTAGATTTTTTCAATTTACCTAATTCTTCCAGCCCCACTATGACCCTGGGGTCGACTCAACCTCTAACAGAAATAAGTACCAGGACTATTCTTGGGGGTAAAGGGTGACCGACTTGTAGGACTGACAACCTTGACGCCATCTATGAGCCTACTGTCTAGAAATGTGGGAAGCTCAATATCTCACAACCCTATGGGCCTCCATGGCGTGTTAGGGGGATACTTTTACTTACTTACTTTACAACCATTGTAGCTATATGCAATGCACGTATATTTCACTTCTCTGTTAAAGATAAAACTGATCAGCTTCGTTGGACATTAAAAATACATACATAAATTTTACATTACATTATTTTCACCTCCAACTAGGGCGAGGTCAAGAAAACGTGGATCCATACACTACATCCTCTCCCCCAATATGCCTTCATGGCACAGGGGCAACCAACTATAAAATATCAATAAGTCAACAGCAAATGACTTTGCTGTTAAGTTGACACATACTGCAATGACCACAATTTATGAGTCTGCATATCACTTATTTCTGTTCCATTGTAGCGCATGGCTCTCTTTTATCTAATACAAACTTACCAGTAGTGCCTGAGTGAAAATCTGAATGTCTCGAAATGTTAATAATTTACTGCATTGAGATTTTAAATTGGCCACTGCCAATTCCTTCCCTATCATTTCCACTTACCCGAACTTGAACATCTCGTGTGCCTGTGTGACACACCTCTGACAGACTATCGGTAGAAATACACGTAAATTATGAATCAGCCAATTATAAAGCACGAAACGAGCTCCATGGTTCAGAGTCCCTGAGCAATTGATAACTATTCAAATGGTTCAGTAATATCATGTTAATAGTGTCTTCTTCCTGCGCTTAAATCTCCGAACAATTTGTTCCTCTGAGATATTCCAAACAAATGCTTCATCCCGAAAGCTGCACGCTCTGGTTCTCGAATTTCCATCGAAATAAAAATCACGTACATATGCGTCTCTGCTACTCATGACCCATGACCTTTTCTCTAGGATCTTTCTGGTGGCCCGTCTCCCGTCGTAATAATGAGTCCCCCTGCGTGTTCAGAAAAAAACTGTCTTGTTTTCTAGAATCGGCATGTACTGTGATGAGTGAGAAATTAAATCTTCCTCAGCTTCCTGGTCAATCGGCGCCTGCCAGTGTCTGAGGGCTCCGTTGCTTGCATTTGACTCAGGATAAATAGAGTTTATGCCCCAGGTTGGGTATCTGCTTCCATCGCTAAACAATCGTTTCTAGGACCGGGCTCCAGGCATCAAAATATCCAGAGCGGTGGCTTCATTGTTTAGTGAGACTCTCTAAGTAAGGATGAAGTCTGTTACAGAGATTTTTCAGGAAACGAACACACAGTTTGTTATGTGAGGGTAATACATGTCTGAGACCTAGACCCAGGATAAAGCAATTTTTTGCTTAGTTATCCTTTCCTCTTCCTCGTCAGTAGTTACCCGTGCTTCTATTTCTGTCCGCCTTCCAACCTCGACGCTTCAGTCGATAACATGTACGACTGGAAAGGAAAGCTATAGGTACGAAATGTTGCAACATGTAAGTACCCAAGCAAAGAATTTTTCTACACAAGCCCTACGCGCTTGTTCACCTAACCTTACTAACTTTACCGTACATGCCACCATTGTTGCCACTTTGCCTCCTTAAATTCCCCCCTAATTGAAAGTTTCAAGTTACTTTCAACTAGGGAGGGATGTTAAGGAGGTTCTGGACATACCACCATTGTTGCCACTCTGCCGGAACTTGCTGAGACTGCAAGCGCTGCGGTGGCTACATTTACATTGCTTAACAAGTGGAATGAAATTAAGTGCAGGTATGTCGTTTTCCGGGCCACTCATATGGACTCCATTGAATATGTGTAACAAAAACTTGATCTATTCCAATGTGTTTACTTTTCATATTTCTGTCTTTTAGTTCATAAGCAATGTTACAGTAGAATGGCTATACACTACTTCATAAGTGTACAACGTGTATACAGAAGGATTATTTGTCTTACAGGCATGATGCTAAGATTCAGATGGCAACAGATGTTTGTATCACCACTTGCCAAAAGTCATACCTGACCACTTGAGGCCTGACTACAGTACATATTTCAAATTACCATGGAAATGTAAGATTTGAGGCTTTCACGGCGGTGACTATGAAGAAAGCAGTCTTCTGGGATTTGGCACCGTGTATATGTGGTGTTAACCGACGTTTCGGAGGAACATTGATTAACACCACATATACACGGTGCCAAATCCCAGAAGACTGCTTTCTTCATACCATGGAAATATACAAGTGGAGAAGATTTGTTCGTGTGATAACTAATATGAAAGTGCTTAAATACAGAGACTTAGTTCCGAAGTTAAAATAAATGAGTTTGATATTTACACTGACAACGAATACTTTTAAGTAAAACATCTTACAAACATGAACAAATACACCAGCACGAAGAGTATAAAGCAGACACGATTGAGCAACGTGCCCAACAGGGTCCATGCATGTACTTTAGCTGTGGGAGACGTTCCTACAAGGCCAACTCCCTCTTCTCTTCCATTTTCCTCCACAATAATCGCATCCTGGGTAATAACAATATCATTTCAGACAAGGTCTTCAATGCTCTCGATGAGGTACAGAACTAAGTTAAAATAAATAAGCAAATTAGAGGGGTACGTCAAATTCCAACACAGGAGTTACTCTGGAAATCCAAAAATCAAAATACTAATTTCATCAATGCCATTTCACTTTAACACAATTATTAATAAAATTTCCATATTTCACGTAACCTTCATCGCAGTGATGAACATCAGGAAAATCAACAAATATAATTACGCGAAATATTTGTATAAAATTATCGTAACTCTTACACAAAATTTCCACAATTCCGATGAAATAACGAAACAAAAATTGTTCATTAGATATGCAGAAAATGTAATGTGGGTGTTGCTTTCGTTTATTGGTTTGGGTGCTTTTCATTACTAAAATTACACATATACACATAGTAAATCAACATAATGAACTCACAGCGCAGGCGGTTAAATCATTTTTCATCCAAATACATTCGCAGTTTGTTTTAAGAATATTTTTTATTTTGAGACTAATGTTCAGTGATAAATGAAGTTTCATTGTTGGCCGGACACTCAAGTTACTGTACTATCTTCACTATATTTTCAGTGATCCTGTTAATGTCAATGTTAACCAGTTTCAATAACTACTTTATTAGAGGCCTACAATGTACCAAAGTGACTGAAACTCAGTTCTTTTTCTGATTCAAAACAATGAAGCATTCCATGGAATTCATCCAACATAACTTTCAGTCCAGTAACAAAGAATTTCTTCGTATTACCTAGTAAATAATAAAATAACTTCTCTAAAGGAAATTTTCTTCTCATAGGAACTATTATGACAGCTTTCAACTCAAATGTGAATTAATTCAATACTGCTGAATTTCAAACCTTGGAGGCAGGAATCGCCCCATCGTGCAACTCGGGTAAGTGATTGAAGAGATGGATTTTGTATTAGGGAAACGCATAGAATACGTAGGTTCTAATAGTACATTTTTTTTCTGAAAGAGAAACTGATGGACGCCGGCATGACATATTTCAAGGCAATTCTCAGGCCATACACGCAGAGGCTAAGTGAAGCCGTTATTACACATTTCAGAATACTGTACAAAGTGCGTACAAAGCTGAATGACCTCACTGTGGCATAGTTCAAGACAATACAGACGGACTAAATTAAGTGGACATTATGCTACATATTTTAAGGAATTATAAAACCATTACATTTGAAGTCTAAATGACCACACTTTTACATATTTTAAGATAACATTCAAGCATTACACATAGAGACAAAGTTAAACAGACATGGCCTTCTTTGCGCTAGTTCTCGTACACAGAAATTACATTGGAAGCCTGGGTGAAGTAGTGTAACCGTTCATCATAATTTGGTGGACTATTTTGTATTAATTAAATCTATATTAAGTTAATATCAAGTAAATACAAAGAGAATCTGGCAGATAGCCAACTCTTACACGCAGAAGGGACATAGTTCAAGTTTTGCTATGTGGACAGAAAGTAACATCTGGTACTTTTCCTGGAATTCTGGCAGGTTTAGCAAAGTTGGAAAGTCTTTGAGAATTTGAGAGTTGACAGCTTGGAACAGCTATAACTTAGAAGTGGGAGGGCCGGAGCCTCATCCCCTGATCCTAATGCATCAAGTCGCTGTCAACCTTAGCGTCAGATCAGCAACTGCCAGAATCACATAGCAAAGAAACATGATTGGAAATTCACAAATTTAGGGAAACTCCTAGTTTGTAAACTTAACCAATTGCAAAAGTGGAGGAGTGGATTTCTCGTGGAGTCTGTGGTTCGTGGACCTCAGGATTCAGAGAGAGTGCACTCCACCTCAAGGAGTCTTCATCCAACTTTCGGCAAAGTCGGACACAAAATATAACTACGTCCCTGCAGTAAAATTATTACAAGTTAAATACAATTAAGTGTAACCATTAAAGGTTGCATTATATTCAGTGAGCTGGAGTGAATTAAATAAGAACTAAGTGCAAAAGTCCGAAGTGGTGTGTGTGACTGCAGTGAAAGGATCTTCCTGCCCTGCCCGAGCCAGCCTCGTAAGACCCCAGGATAAGAACTCATCTCTATACATTACAGAGCAGAACCCAGCTACTCCTGTCTTTCCCTACTTGCGGGACACCTAATGGTAGTACAGGAACGAACTCCCGCCTACCAGCACCAACAACCACAGTTCTCCTCCCTTCCCACCTAACTTCTCGCCATCCACGAGAAGAGGGAGGAGGGCAGTAACTTCAGTGGAGGCGTCCAGACACGAGGTCCAGGTGAACCGCAGCACCGGAAGGAAGAGGACGGTAAAAGTAGTTATATCATCCAGTCAGGGTAGCTGCTCGTTGGAACAAGATTCGAAACAGGGACTTTCCGGATACAAAATACGAATAATACACACTCAACCTCGAAGATCAGCGAAATTCTTTCGAGACTTGAAAAATGTAGCATCGATAATATTAAATGGTAACTTCGGATAGTTCATAAGAATATGAACTGAACTGAACTGCCCTTGGATCTGCCAAATTGCATGTCCTCGAATTCTTACCAATTCGCAATTCGCAATCATGCTCCCGTTCCAAGTTATATAACAGATGCATTATCATCACTAAGCATGGTCCTTCTTGAGAAGCTCAGTTAATCAAGCAGTTTCTCGATTTTTCTGGAATCCTGAGGTTTAGTACAGAGCTCAATGAAGCCTGCCACTGGTTCCTACCCTGAGTTGTCTGAATATATCCATTCCACTCCCTCACAACCTATTTCTAATCGCTTTAATACTACCCCTCTACTTCAGCCTGTGTCTCCCAATTGGTCGCTTCCCTTAGATTTTCCGACTAAAACTGGATATGAATTTCTCACTTCCTGTCACTACGCGTGCCGTACCCCACTTATCTCAACATCCTTAATTTAGTCACTCTAAAGCAGCCGGGACGTGAAGCTGACCACTCACCTCCAGATAGTGCCGAGGTCAAGAAAATGTGGATCTACACATCCACTCTCCCATACACCTTCGTGGCGTAGTGCTTAATTCGTTGAGCAGAGGCACAACTTTACCTTTTACTAATATTATGTGAGGAGTGTAAATTATGAAGCTCCTCGTTATGCAGTATCCCCCGGCGTTTGCTTCTTCCTCCCTCTCAGGTCCAAATATTCTCCTTAATAATGTATTCTATATCATTCCCCTTGAGTAGGAGACTAATTTTCACACCAATACAAAACAACCACCAAACTCAAAATTCTGCAGTGTTCATTTCTACATACTTAGCTAAGCGATCTGATGGCAAAAGATGCTCTTGATATCTTAATATCTCCGTGAATACAGTTTTGATTTATTCCTATCGGTCCTAATTATTTTAACACTGACAACAAGAAACTGGTGTTTCAAATAACTATTGTGGTTACGTTATGTAATTGTAGGAAAATGCTAGAACCTTTTAAGAAAATTCAGACTAGCAATGGTTCCTCTGTACTTACTTACTCATGGAGCTAAGCCCTTCTGGAAGAGCTGCCAATTCTGCAGCTACTCAAGAATTTCCCAACATTTCATGGAACCCGAAGGTTCATTATCGTGTTCACAAGAGCCCTCCACTGGTCCCTATCCTGAGGCAGATCAATCCAATCCGTCCCATCCCATCCTACCTCCCTAAGATCCATTTTACTATTGTCCACTCACCTATGCCTTGGTGTTTCTAGCGGTCTCCTTTCTTCTGGCTTTCCCACCAATATCCTATACACGTTCCTCGTCTCCCTCATTCGTGCTACATTCCTTACCAACCTCATCCTCCTTGACATGATCATTTTAATAAGAGCCGCCCCTTGTCGGTTGTCCGTGACTACTTATTCAATATATTCACAGCTTTCCCTCCAAAACTGGAGGGCGTCTCCTCTATCCGCAACCTGAGGACGCGCTATGCCCTGGTGACAAGAGACCCATATAACACGGAATGGTTCTTCTGTATATGTAAAAATTAAAAGTAACAGTGAAATGAGTTTAATTGGATGGGGTGGTGACGCTTGCTGGAAATTCGCGGTAAAAATTCGGAGCGCGCTCTTTAGCAGTCTTGCTCCAGATTTATAACCGGTGATCGCATTAGCAGATGGCGTTGCTAACGTCGACTTTTTGGGAAGTTACGAATAACGCGTTCATATCTTACCATACAGATGGCGGAATTATCTTTTGTGATGTGGCCGTAAACACGTGCATTGTAAATTACATGAAACTTGCGTATTTACCTTTGGTGACATTTTTGTCAGGAGAAGAAGTTGACCGGGCCGGTAACTCAGCGTCCAACTTATGATCCCAATTACCCAGCGATGGGGGGCTGCTGAAGTGGATGTTAAGCATCGCAAAGTGATGGCAAGCAGCAAGGATAGTCCTGAAAGTAACAGGGAGTCCCGGAATAGCTGTACTGGAATCAGACAAACCAGGAGATTATGCTGGATATTGTCCATAATTTACTGGTTAGGTCGACGGGTGCCGTCTTTAATCAAAATCTGAATGAAAAAGTTGAAGCAGGGATAATTTATCTAGAATTAAATCTGAATATAAAATCCATAAGAGAAACGTGGCTTTATATACTTTCTGACATTTCCTTTATGAATGTTTAAATAATAAAGCATATGTGCATTATAGTTAATGACCAGGATTAATGGGATTATGGTCTTTGCCCATTGTCCGCTATTCTAAAGAACACTAAGAGCACAACGTTTCCGAAACTGAATCTACTTCGATCCCCAGAGGATTGGGTGGGAGACATCTACTCTGCTGAATCCGTTAGAAAGAGGTAATCCCAATTACAATATCATTATTATACAGGATGTTTCAAAAAGAGCTTTACAACTTTGAAAGCTTATATAAATTTATATAGGTGACATACACAACATTTTGAACAGTCATAATATAGCAACACACATCGAGTTTCATGCACATGGTACTGACTGCCACCGCGAGCGCTCCCGCAGTTGAAATCAAGATGGCTACTTTCTCAGGTGCAGAGCGTGCTCTTTGTGTGTTTTGGTTCGAAGAAACGAAGTTTGCTACACAATTTCAAAGGAAAGTTCGCACTCGGTATCGCAATGAACCTCCCAGTAGGCCTACAGTTTACTCCTGGCAAAAGAATTTTGTTCAGACCAGATGTTTTGCGCGCCATGCCAAGCCACCCGGTCGGCCACGTGTTTCTGACGCTACAGTGGAACAGATTAGGGAGAGCTTCGTTCGAAGTCCAGGAAAGTCAACGCGACGTGCTTCTCGGGAAACTGGTATTCCAAATGTCACTCTGTGGCGAGTTTTACGAAAACGTTTACACTTAAATCGTACAAACTATCCATCGTTCAACACCTTACGGATGCAGATAAGGTAGTTCGTAAGGAATTCAGTATGCAAATGATTCATCGGATACAAGACGATGAGAAGTTTCTGGGCTCCGCAATTTTCAGTGATGAGAGCACGTTTCATGTCAGTGGTAAGGTCAATACCCACAACTGCAGGATCTGGGGCAGCGAAAATCCACGTGTCTCCCTGGAACAGGTTCGTGATAGCCCAAAGGTGAACGTGTTTTGCGCCCTCAGCAAATAAAAAGTGTACGGCCCCTTCTTCTTCATGGAGACGACCATTACCCGTATCGTATATCTGGACATGCTCCAAGAGTTCCTCCTTCCACAGTTAGACGAAGATGACCAAGTAGGCCGCATTCACTTCCAGCAAGACGGCGCACCCCCTCATTACCTTGGAGAAGTGCGCGAGTACCTCAACACCCGTTTCCCGGTCGGTGGATTGGTAGAGCGGCGCCGAGACCATGGCAACGTCGTTCCCCGGATCTCACTCCCCCGGATTTTTTCTTATGGGGATTTGTTAAAAATCGAGTGTTCGTACCGCCTTTGCCTGCAAATGTCGTTGAGCTCCGAACTCGAATTACTGCCTCAGTTGCAGAAGTGACACCAGAGATGCTACGTAGCGTGTGGCAAGAGACTGACTTCAAGTGGGACGTCTGCCGCATTACCAATGGAAGTCACATTGAGCCATAGCTATCCGAGGTAAAACTCGGTGTGTTTTGCTACATTATGACAGTTCAAAGCGCTGTGTATGTCCTCTGTATAAATTTATATAAGCTTTCAAAATTTTAAAGCACTTTTTGAAACGCTCTGTATTATTATTTTATTATTACGTTCTTTGTGTATTTCTCTTCATCAATGCTTTTGTTTATTCAAAGTGCTTGCCTGTAATTTGTTTTTTGTCTTTATGTTATGTTTATCCATAATGTGAGTATCTGTACCTACACTGTGTTGACCTTGTAGTTGCTGACTCGGCACATAAATAATAAAGAACTGAACTGACTTGAATTATTAATGTGGTATATTTGCTCAAGGAAAGAACTGTGAAGACAACAGGGAGAACCGTTGCTAGGGAACGACTCTGTAAACACACCTGTTCCTAGGCAACAGCTTCGTAACACGCAACATGTGAGTAACTGGGAAGCGGTGTTCTCTACACAGTCCGTGCCGAGGTTGTATATGGAGTCGATTGTGAGTTAGTTCGGCAGTTGGAAGCCGGTAAGTTCAACTCGGAAGCTGCAGCTGAAAGGTGCCAGCCAGCGAGGACAGGAACAGTTGGACACGGAAAGCGAGGACGTTACAAGTTTGGAAGCCGCTACCAAGCCGTGCAATGAAGACCGTGACTGAGAACACTGGTCTCTCTGTGATAGTGGTTTGTAAAGTGTAGTCACCAGTTGTACAAGAGTACAGAACATCCGATTACAAATCCAAACCCAGTCTATAGTCACTCTTAACACATTATATTAGCATAGCCACAACTAATATCGCAATGATAATATTCATCCGTTTGTTAAAATCTCCAGTGACGTGATCTGCCCCTCGCTCTGCTTTTAATAAAATCAACAGATTTTTGCTTACCTATCAACGGGCTCTTCTTCCCAGTGTTCTCCAGTTTCGACCCCAAATACATGAGGTACAGGCAGTGACAAATTAAGCTGACGCATGAGATGTTTACTCTGTTTTCTTCCAGTGGGGATATCCAAAACGAAATCAACACCAGGGAGCCGATAACTGCGACAAAACGAAAAATGCCTTGCATAGTGTGTGCAAATACAGGCACATGCGAGAATCGTTCCTATACACTGCTTGTGACCCATCTGGCCGCTCTGATTTTCGATTTTACTCGAGGGATTTAGTTGCAATTTGACGCTACGTGCTTGCAGGAAAATTGTATTTTTATTCATAAAGGCCCATAACAAGGCCTACTTATATTAAATGTAATCAAAAACGTAATGGGTCACTAAGTAACGATTCATCGCGCATGTAATTCATACACACATGGTACAGAATCCTTGTGGTGAACCTGATACTCGCCCAGCTGTTTGGGGAACCCCCTGCCTTATTGGGAAACAGTAAGTTCAGTTTCATGTTCACAAACGTCTGACATTAGCTCCTATTCTGAAGCCTTTCATAGTCTTACAGCCAATGCCTGTTAGTTCACGGCGTCTATCATTTTAACTTTCCATCCACGCTTCGATACTGCAAGTGTCCCCCGCTCTCAAGTTGATTCTTACGCATATATCTCACTTAGGTCTGCAGCTTCTATTTGAGGCACATTTTACACGGCGAATAATTAACGAAAGACAAGGGAAATAATTTCTGTATGATTTGGGGATCTCACAGCGGTAGCTGTGAAGAGTTCTCTCTTGTGACCGTGCAGTCCGCTCAAAGGCTAACGACTCAAAATGGCGGTTGATTACACGCGTTACGTCCCAGAAGACGGAAATCTTCAGAACAACTTCTACCTGCTGTGTGATAATCTTCATTGCAGTAGACTGTGTCTGCGGTGAACGAAAGTTAAGGCTTATGAGGTACCCAACATCGCAAAGAATTCATTTGGAATATGAATGTACTAATACCTCATCCTCCTTCACTTGATCATTCTCCAAGTATAATTAGAATGATCAAGTCAAGGAGGATGAGGCGAGTAGGGCATGTAGCACGAATGGGGGAGACGAGGAATGCGTATAGAATATTGGTGAGAAAGCCAGAAGGAAAGAGACCACTGGGAAGACCAAGGAGTAGGTGGGTGAACAATATTAAAATGGGTCTTAGAGAGATAGGATGGTATGGTATTGATTGGATTGATCTGGCTCAGGATAGGGACAGTGGAGTGCTCTTGTGAACACGGTAATGAACCTTCGGGTTCCATGAAATGTTGCGAAATTCTTGAGTAGCTGCAGATTTGGCTCCTCAAGAAGGGCTCAGCTCCATGAGTAAGTAAGTAAGTGTACTATTATCTGAGCATATTTTTATGCTTGTAACAACATGCTACTTTCACATTAGATATGACAATAGAAATTGATAAGAAGAGAGAGCGATTCTCTATACCCAGAAGTGAAAGCGATGAACATGAAGTACTTACTGCCACTCCATTTCTCTTGCTGTTTGTTGTCTGTGTTCCAGTTTTTTGACAGTCTATCGGAAATTTCGCTGTCCTGTTTGTCTAAGTTCCTGTGGCTTGAAAGTCTCCCCCCCTCCCCACAAAAAATAATTTTCCCTTTTTGTTTTTCTACGGAACTGATCACTTATATCGCGCTATCTGTGAGAGTGAATTTAAGAGATGTGCAGAGTAATCAGTAGAATTGGTAACCGGATGAAAGAAGAATCAAAGCCAGCCTTGAGCGTACGTTTCGCTTAGGCTCTGAATACGTATTATTACTAGGCAATTTATTTCCAAGGTATCAGTTTTGTGTGAAAACTGCATAAGGCACACCACATGCATTTTTATTATGCCTATAATCTGTAGTCGACACTTTTCTCTGAGGCGAATATTTACCCTTGTACGCTTACTTTATTGTGCATATTTCTTAAGTAAAATTGAACTTACAATTAACTAAAGTGAACGAAAAACGTATAGAAGATAGTAAGTAAGTAAAACTACCCCTGTAACAGGCCGTGGAAGCCCATAGGGTTGTGAGATGTTGAGGTTCCCAAATTTTCTAGACAATCGGCTCGTAGATGGCGGTAAGGTTGTCAGCCTTACTCGCCGGCCGCCCTCTTCCCCCCAATTCCTGGTACTCATTTCTGTTGGAGGCTGAGTCGACCCCCAGGACCATAGTGCGGCTGGAGGGGTTAGGTAAATTGAAAAGAAATCAATGAACTCATCGGGATTCGATCCCGCGACCTTCCGGCTTGTAGCATAGTGCCTCAACCAACTACGTTACCGCGTAAACAAAAATCGGTGTTTACTAATCCGACTGTATATTTACTCTACCGCATTTGTCTTTTCTTTCCGAAATAGAATGAGACCTCTACTGCTTCCAGAGAAGGGACAACATGAAACCAGGGTTGTATATGTTCTAGGAGATGCATGCCGCGACTGCGGATTCTAACCAATCTTACCCAACGCAGGCACTCCCACCGTCGCTTCGTACATTCTGGAATGTCTCTGCAAAACGAAATTGTACCGAATCCATGGAAAAATGGAGTTCTCTTCGAGTTCCAACAACTCTCTCCTGGAGGTCGCAGACAAGAGCTTCCAATCCGGGTTAGGTTCATAGTGAATGAGACTCACCTTAAAACAAGCCAAAAATCATTACTGGAAGGTAACATGACACACAGTCCTTTGGGGAACTTACACCTCTTTTAAAATACAACAATGGTCGCGCCATGGCTCTGGTTGTTAGTCGCTGGCTTCCCATCGCGCCGGCCCGGGTTTGGTCATGAGGGATTTGTGGTGGACAAAGGGGCGCTTGGGCAGGTCTTCTCCGAGTACTTCGGTTTCCCCTGCCAGTCTTCATTCCACCAATTGCTCCACAGTCACCATCATCTATCACCGGAAGTCCCTGTTGACTGGCTAGCAGACCATATTTACAAGATGAAAACCGCCAATCCGATACTGGACATCAAGGTAGCCAGTTTGGAGTTCTTCTTACGGTTTCCGTCAGCCATTTCAGCCAAGCACAGGGATAGTACCTTAAAGAAGGCCAGCAACTGTTTCCCACTCCCTTCCCAATTCACCACCCGGTCATTCTTCCTTCCGGTGCCCTGAAATGCATGTTGGTCGGAACAGTCTTTACATGATCTGAGAAAGCAAAATAAATTTCAGAATTATCAGTTTTGTTTTCAACGGCCTTCCCCTCGACAGATCGTTGAATTCACATAGACGAAGATATGCAACCGTTGCAGCGCCTACTAAAACTTACCGTGGAAAAAATAAATGCCCCTGCAGCGCTTAACATCCTGCAGCGTATTGCAAACATGGCCTTTAGTCTATGCGATCTGTTGGCATCTGAATAGAGTGAATTCAACTGGCATGGTTCTAACAGCTTGTGTCCGACCCTTCTTATTCAATATGTGTCAGCAGTTCACAAAGTGGGGCAACGGAATAAAAATGGAGTGCTTTCCGTCACGCAAACAAATATTTTTATTGTTCCACTCACAACAAGTTTTGGGTCCTGACAGCCCATCGTGTGATATCCTAGAAATACACAAATTATGACGGAATTTATATAAACCTACAATTCTAATAAAACGATTCCATGGCCTGTAGTCCACAGGCGAACTATACCGACCAAGCGATCGCCGTTTGTCGGTGAAGTTAATGCCAACTTTAGTGGATAGTGTGTGTCGCGTGGTCAGCGCAACAGATCCCCGTGGCCGTTAATCTCGGTTTTTTAGACCGGAGCCGCTATTTCCTTGAAATAGCTCCTCAGTTATCCTCACGAGGCTGAGTGGACCCCGTTCCAGACCCACTACTCTGAAATCTGGTGGCGCTGGGAATGGAATGCGCGACCTCTAGATCTCTAGGTACGAACTCTGACCACTAGACCACAGAGGCAGTCACAATGCTAATATATATTCGAAAAATTTGTACCTAAATTATGTGGGATCCGATTTAATACCGTATACACATTGACTTTTAAAATTAATATCAAGCTCGACATACCTATTAAATTTAAGAATTAAAAATAAACAAATGTAAGTATAACCGTGCTGTGTAACGACGCTTTTCAAATACATATGGTACGTAGCAACATGTGATATAATGACTGCACGATGGGCTGGATATGAAACAGTCGTAGACTCTTTTAAGGTGCAAGGTGTGACGATTTAGTTCCCGTAATGGCCGCAGCGTGTCGCTGGGGTGTTGAGTCAGGCAAACTCAGGTACCCAAGCACGTTTGAACATGTTCCAACTTGCGTTTACATGAGACACAGACCAAATGAGCCGTTCGTTCCCAAGCAGCAGAGGAAGTAGCACGTTTCCATGGTATACTGTTGGTGGGAAAATGAGTGACAGTCTGGAGCAGCGGATAAACATCAAGTTTTGTGTGAAGATCGGTAAAAGTGCTAGTGAAACGTTATCCCTATTAACAGTGGCTTATGGTGAATACGCTATGAGGAACTGGAGTGTTTTTGACTGGCATAGGCGGTTCAAGGAAGGGCGAGAATATATGCAAGGTGATCCAAAAAATGGGCAACCAAAAACGCAAAGGACAGATTCAAATGTGGACAGAATACAAATCTTGTGCGCTCAGATAAGCATTCGCTTAAAGTGACTTGAAAAACTAGTGCCAGGTGTACGGGGTCAACTTCACAGAATTCAAAGCCAATATGACTCTCTCATTAATGTTAATTAGCAATGATATCCAGTCACTCTCGACAGAGTTCAAACTGCTGTGTTAACAGATAATGATAGTACATACTGTACAAGTAAATTATAAGTACTTACAGTACCGCGGTTCGTGTTGACAGTAATCTCCTCCCCTGTCTGCATCCACGCTCCAACCTCAAGAGAACAATTCATGACGTCATATGGCCAGTAGGTTATGTCGGGAGCACAGATTGTGTGGTACATTGTTGGCGGTACACACGTGACCATTCCACTTGGATCCACCACGCATCTGCCCTTGTGAATATCTCGTCTCACATCCCAGGAAGAGGTCCTGGAAAGAACAATACACAACTCTGCAGAACTAAGTATTTCGAAATAATCATAGTTGTTCTACTGGTTAAGCAATTCCTTCTGCTTTTGGTACCCGCAAATACCATATTCAAGAAAACTCGCCACTGAATCCCATCNCTCCCAGTAACTTGAGCACATCTCCAGGTACATCATCATCTCCTGTAGCCTTTCCCTTCCTCATTTCCTTGATAGCTTTTTCCACCTCACTTTGTAAAATATATGGTCCTTTCTCGTCTGTATCTACTTCTTCTTCCGGTTCAACTTCTAAGGTTTCTGGCCGATTAGGTCGATCATATAAACTTGTTCTTATGCAATTAAATTTAATGTTAGACTTCCATCTACCAACAAGGCTTCCAAATATATACAAATTATGAAGAGAGGATTAACGAAAGTTATAAACTGGAAATGTTCATACAGCTGCCTAACTATCACTGTTCCCTTTACCTTTACGAAAGACTCTTTTAGTCCACAAAAATAATGTAAGCATCAGTGTTGAACTTTGCTCGAAAATCCCGAAGAAAAATACCACTAAGAAATCCAATTCACAGACGAGAGAAGAATATTGAAATAGTAGATCTAAGAGAAATAGTTTGTAAAAGGATGGGTTGGATTTAACTGGCTTAAAATATGATCTAATTGCAGAATTTTGTGACCACGCTTATGGACCTTCAGCTTCTACGTGTATAAAAGTAGAAAATTTCTCAACCACGTGAGTAAGCGTAAGGAGGCGTGGAGACTGTTCCACAATCATCCGCGAGACAGGCGTCGTTCAGGGCAGTAAGAGGTTTCTCATACGGCATNGGTGCACTTACTGCCCGGACTGTGCAATCTCTGGTACCCATATCTCGTGACTGTCCACGTGCAACATGGACACGCCTCCGTAATCCGATACATTCCAGTGCAGCTTCTCGTCCAGCCATTCCTGGAATCGATTCCTGACAACTAGTACACAGAGCTCTGGTAAAATGCTGCATTCTGACAAACACAAACACGAGAGTGAAGCCATTCCTCGGCGCGGCTTTTGTACAAAACTCACCTTGTGATTGCGTAATTGTCACTTGTATCAATCCAGATGTTTCATGTCCGAAACTACTTAATAATTCCGAATGAATTGGGTGTTTTTGGTCGTAAAATTTGTCTGACATTGTTATTTTTGGTCCTTATCAGGTCTATAGAACCGCTGCTTTGCACGAGGCTCGAACATTAACGTTCTAAAAGTCGCTGTTTGTTTTAAAAAATATTTTGATTTGAACTCTTACACTCAGTAAGTACAAGTATGTTAGTGTGTGAAGAAACTAATTACAGTCAATTAGAGTCCTTAAAATTGATAATTAAATTCTGATTTTGATTTTTTTTAGGTTTGTATCATGCTTTTTGACAGAGTGATAATCTGCCGTGTAGTTGGAATATCCTTTGAGTTTTTTAATTGTTGTAGAAACGCCGATCGTGATTTTGCGAAAGTAACGACTATTAACGGCATTTTGCATAAAGTTTGCTATTACGTCCGTGATCGATGTGTTTTGCAAATGTGTTGTGATGCTTTAGGTCAGGAAACACTTCCTTGCATGATTCTTTACACCAGCGCTAAATACAAAATGTTACTTACCCAGACCATCCAGCAGTGAATAATTAAGGTGCGGATTCGTTCATCCTGTGGAAATAGCAGAAATAATAGCCATAAAATCGCACTGCCTTATATGCAGATATTCTTTTGTTTTGTTTCTAATATGTGACATCTTCACTGTTACATTTTTACTAATTATTTGAATAATGTCTTTTACACTGCATGGCTTATTATCTCAATAATTATGACTAAGAATTTATTACTTAAGTTGATAAAAACAACAGATAGAATGCAAAAGACAAGATCTTCAAAATGACAAACATATGATTTCTAGGAAAATATTCACATGAAAACATAGGAATTGGTGCAAACTAATTTATGAAGCACTGAACACACTGCAAAGCATCCAAACCTTATGAAGGAAAAATACGAGTAATTTATGTTTGTTGGAGTACTTAACAACGCTTTATACAGGACGTTCAACCGTCGAGGAAACCTGGTAACAGCGCTGATCGGGCTCAGCATTCCTCACAGACTGCTGCTGTAACTGCTAATATTGGAATGAGTCATTAGCGCTGATAAAAGCGTGCACTTTCGCTAGCGCAGAGTGGATGGAATGTGCTTAGTGTACATAGTCGGATGGTGAAGGCCGCACCATAGCTCAAGCGGTTAGTAGCTGGCTTCCCACCGCGGCGGCCCAGGTTCGATCCCGGGTCTGGTCAAGTGGGATTTGTGGTGGACAAAGTGGCGCTGGGGTAGGTTTCCCCTGCCAATCTTCATTCCACCAATTACTCCACAATCACCCTCACCTATCATCAGGGGCTGGTACAATAGGCCAGAAGTGGCCACAGTACAAGGGACTTAGCCCCACCCCACTAACAATAAAGAAAATAGTCGGATGGTGTGATTATTACAAATGTTTGATTTAAATACGTANCCAATTTTCCTGCTTGATTCAAGGTCCTGACATTCCATGTTCCAATCTTGTATCCAAAATCTGCCTTGATGTTATGAGGAAAACCATGAAAACCGTCA